ATGATTTCAGCAGCCAGTTCCTTATGAGCACCAGCAGAATGTAAAATATTCATTGAATATAATGAAGATAGTTGTTCAAATAACAATTTTGATTTATTTAGGCCGTTTATTTCATAAGCAAACCAATTTTTAACATGATCGAATAGTGTAAAAAAAAGGGTGACTATAGTTCAATCCTACTAAGCCAACCTTCGGCTCAGTAAGCCACCGGATTTCACCGGACCAAAAGCAATTTTTATATTCAAATTAACAAAAATAATTTAATAATACATAATTTTATTAATCATTATTAAAATTAAATAGAATTACTACAATGTTTTAAGCATATTAAATCAAGTAAATATTTCATTTAGCTTGCTCGTTAAAATCCATGCAATTTCGTAAGCCAACAAATCCAAGCACGACAAATAGCCCGACCGATAGATCGAATTGATCGATTAGTCCTATTATTCTAGTTATGTGGTTTGGAGCAAGGGGAGACATTACTGAAAGTAATTAAAAGTTGAAAAAATTGAGGTTCTTTGCATATCCCTGCTTCAACCCATAAGAAGGTGTTGTATGCTGGTAAATAGGCCTCCCCTTGTATCAAACTATTCACTCGTTATTTGAAATTTATTTTATCTTTGCTGTTTCGGCCTCTTTGCTTAGCTTACGTCTCAATCACATGCATCTGTAAACAAGGAAGTAACTAAGTTGAAAATATTTTAAACTTGAAATCACACAAACACACACCCCACAAACACACACCACGCACACACACACGCACGCACATACAGTAAATAAAAACAATTGAGCAACCGAGACAAGAACACGTGTAATTAATATAAACTGCAGCATCAAGACAACTTTGCAGATCATGGCAAACACGATGTTGTTAGCGCTGCTATTCTCCATGGTAACCGCTACTTATACTTACCAACTTGGGGAGAGTGAGATTGTAATGATAACAGAGATACCTATTTTAAATAATGACAATTATAATGATAATTGTAATGATACTAATAATTATTATAATTATAATAATAATAAACATTTGCCTCACCAGATATCGCATTTCGTTACGAAAATGAGTCATTGGTGGCGCTCATAGACTCCAGTGAATGTAAAGCTCAGGTTATCGACAATGTAAATTGGAATCAGAAACGCGATTATTCATTGATAGTTAAGTGCGCCACTTTCCAACTCTGGCCACCCTCCTTTGATACTTTATTTATTTACGTATTTTTTGTCGGTTAGTACGTGAAGGGTTGGTTTAGTTGATATTTATTGTTTGTTTAATTGGCTGGTTGGCTGGCTGGTTGGTTGGTTGGTTGGTTGGTTGGTTGGCTGGCTGGTTGGCTGGCTGGCTGGTTGGTTGGCTGGCTGGTTGGTTGGTTGGATGGTTGAATAAATTGTTAATTGATTAATTAAGTAGTAGTTTATATATTAGCTAAGTATCTGTTAGTGGTTTGGAGGATGAAAAAAATAAATGCCATGCAATGCTGTTTCTTAGAAATTTCGTTTGATTAATGAGCAAAAGTACAACATTAAAGTCATAATAAACTGTAATGACCATTTTTGGAAACAAAAAAACTAACCAATTTTAAACTAAGACAATACTAATTGAAAATCTAAGATGACAAGTTGAATAGAAAATTTTGTGTAAAGTGAAATAGAAAAATACTGAAATAAAATCAAAACTAATACCAGTCATTACAAAATCATATCTCACCCTACCTTCCTACTTACCTTCCTATCTATCTACTTATCTACTTATCTATCTATCTATCTATCTATCTATCTATCTATCTATCTATCTATCTATCTATCTATCTATCTATCTATCTATCTATCTATCTATCTATCTATCTATCTATCTATCTATCTATCTATCTATCTATCTATCTATCTATCTATCTATCTATCTATCTATCTATCTATCTATCTATCTATCTATCTATCTATCTATCTATCTATCTATCTATCTATCTATCTATCTATCTATCTATCTATCTATCTATCTATCTATCTATCTATCTATCTATCTATCTATCTATCTATCTATCTATCTATCTATCTATCTATCTATCTATCTATCTATCTATCTATCTATCTATCTATCTATCTATCTATCTATCTATCTATCTACCTATCAATCTATCACCTACCTAACGTAACGTAACGATATCTTTTGTCTACAGAAGATCTGCCAAAAACTTCTGTTCCCTGTACCAGCATTGTCTCCTTATAATTGTAGTACACAGGCTAATTTTTCCAAAATCCATCCAAAGTCTTTTTAAACGTGTTGAGAGACGGAAAGTTAACCACACCATTCGGGAGGCTGTTCCATACATTTACTACTCTTTCTGTAAAACTAAACTTTCTGATGCCACAGCTCAAACTATGACCGACAAGTCTGTAGTTATTGCATCTAGCTTTACTAAACTGTCTCAGTTCGAGATCGGGTGAAATCTCCGCACCATACATGGCGTGCAATATTCTGTATACTTCTATTATATCTCATCTATAACTTTGTTGCTTTTTTTGTACCTTCTCTATCACATCAATTATATTTCTCCTATATGGACACTAGACCGACGCAGCATATTCTACATGACTACGTACAAAACTATAATGTAACAGGACGAAGGTGTTTTTGCCCATTTGTTAAAAATTTCTACTAATTTACCTACCTACCTACCTACCTACCTACCTGCCTGCCTACTTACTACCTACCTACCTACCTGCCTACCTACCTGCCTGCCTACCTACCTACCTACCTACCTACCTACCTACCTACCTACTTACCTACCTAACTGCCTACCTACCTACCTAACTGCCTACCTAACTGCCTACCTACCTACCTATCTACCAGCATACCTACCTACCTATCCACATAACTACCTACTCAACCACCAGTATCAGAGGTCCTCGAAGTCATTGAAACACCTGCTAACCCAACTAACATATTGCGTTGTAAAATCATTCATAAATTTCGTCCTGGGAAAGCGAATGCAAGGCCAGGTGTTTGCCTTCCTTCCGGAAAAATTCTGTAATTATACTTTAGTGTTGATTGGTGCACAAGAAAATTCCAAAACTGAATTTGAAATCAAAAGAATACCCCTGGGAATGTTGAGTTAGTTTAACGACTTTCTTTCCATGTATGTACGTGCAATGTTAGCCTTGGCCTTTTATTCACTCTTTTTTCGCTTGATTTTATTCGGCATATAAAACAATAGTAAAAAATGTTGATAATAATATTAATAATATTGATTTTGATGACCTCTGATGCTGGTGGTTCGTATTTATGTGTATGCTTGTCTGTATGTGTGGGTTTTTATATAAGTGTATGTATCTTTGTATGTGTATGTTTGTGTGTATGTGTTGGTTTGTATATATGTGTATGTATCTTTGTATGTATAAGTTTGCATGTGTATGTTTGTATGTATGTTCAAGTTTTTTATGTACGTGTAGGCTAGTATCCTGGTAGCTCTTGCCTTTTCCAAAGGTTTGTAATAAAGAACCTGGTTGAAAATTATCAAAATAATTATTATTCCATATCTGAAACATTTGTCATCTAAATTAAACCAAATAAAAAATTTAATGTAATAAAATTAAAAAAAAAACTAACTGTAATAATACTCAGAAATTTATGAAATTCCCAAAACCGAAAAAACAAGTCCCGGTGAATCCGGTCGTTCTCTACCAGTTCATCCATATACGGATGATGTGCAAACCAAAATGCCGTCGGTAATATCGGTCGGAGTGCCGACACTTTTACATCCAATTCGACTCTCTCTGTTGACGTACCAGTTCCTCCATATTCGGATGATGTGCAAATCGAAATGCCGTCGGTAATATCGGTCGGAGTGCCGGTACTTTGTACATCCAATTCGACTCTCTCTGTTGAAAAATGGCGCTTCAAAATCGCAATTGATGAGACTGAAGAAGAGGTGGTGGCTATAGCGAGCGTTGACAAGAATCAAATGTGGTTCAATACCGGTGGCAAATTCAATCACATGTACCGTTACTTATACGAATGGCAGTCATTCCGCGTCATCCAGTTGGACTTACATCAAAGTTAACGGTTTGTTTTTTTTTTCGATTTTAATTTTTTTTTAAATTTTAACGGCACTGCAGCTCCTGATTTTAATTATAGTTCTTTTTAAACGGAAGCTCTGTGATCGATCAGTCGGATTTTCAACCGACACTCAATTCTTTCAAGATGATTTTTTTAATTTAATGAAACGTGGCTTTAGAATTTATATATATGTTATAACATCAACAATAATAATAACAACAATTAATAATAATATTCATGATTAATAATAATAATTATTATTATGGATATTATTATAACACAGGTACCAAAATAGCAGGTCAGTTGATTTATCTTACATGATAACTGTGAGACCCGTAGCGAATGAATAAAAATTTCATTAAAATAAATAAAAAATTTTTAATAATAATTAAAATAGTTTGTCAAAAACACAAAAAGTTATTATAACAAGCTGAGATTAATTTTCAAAATAATTTAATGTATGAGGATTTTAACTTCTAATTTCTATACGCAATT